GAGAAGAATCTTTAAACTTTATCTCATCAAAGTTTACCTGCTCTGTAAATGTTTTTGTTTTTTCTGCCTATTTCTTTTTTTTTAAACCATATAGCAACGTGTTTTATTTTATTTATTGTATTCATGGGTTTTAGATGAGTTGATTTATTTTGAACATTACATAATAAGACTGGCTTTATTTCACATTAGTTATACCCTAAAATTCCTTCTAATAAATTATTTGGATTAACTTTTATTTAGGCTGAATCAACTTTGGTTCACTGACTTATGGGTATATGTACTGTATATTTAAAAAAATTAATTAATATTATAAATTTGTATAACATTTATATATTTATTTTTTTCAAATTTGAGAACAAAATGAGGATTTGCTAGCCTAGAATCTCTACAGTCAATTTGCCGAAGCAAAAGGGCGATCTAGCCATGGTCCATTAGAACTTCCGCAGTCCCGGACAGTCTGGTACCGGTCCAATCACAGCTCTCTATCTGTTTGGTGGGCGGGATGCTGCATCTTCTTCGACAACGTATGGTGGACTGCCTCTTGACTGGCATCCTTAGAGGTCCAATCACTGCGTTCTATTAGCAAGGGGGGTGGGATGTTACTGCGACAGAGCAAAATAAAGATGGCGATGGCTCCGTAGTGGTCCAGTCACAGCACTCTATTGGTTTTTGAACATCTTAGGTGTGTTCTTGCTGTGTCGTGGTAATTCCATGCTGTTGTTCTTTTTAAAACACAGAAACAGCTTTGTTTACCTGTTTTGACGCTACGTTTCGCCGGCGGCTGCAGGCTTCTTCAGGCTGATGCTGATGGTGGCGCGTCACTTCCTTCTCCGTTTATCCGCGGGCAGCAGAGGACGTTGTCGCCCTCTGCTGCCCGCTCTCCCCTCTCCGACGATGCAGTCCCATGCGTGGTCTAACGTGTAAACGCCATCGTCCCTGTTCATGGTCCCACATCCACGTCTCCTTATCTCGATAGCTTCTTTAATCCATCTTTTGTATTTCTGTTGTTCGGTGTTTATGATCCTTGTGTTGTCGCAGTCCATTACATGGTTTTCTCTTGTGCAGTGATCTGTTACGGCTGACTTCTTTATTGTACTTTCTGCTTCTTCTTTTGCTGCTCTTGTATGTTTTCGACTTGTTTCTTTCTCACACTCCTTTCTGTGTTCTATTGTTCATGTGGTGAGTTGGCGTCCGGTTTCTCCTATGTATGTTTTATTGCAAAGTTTGCATGGGATTTCGTAAACAACTCCACATTTAAGTCCAGCTGGTATCTTGTCTTTTGGGTGCACTAGTCTGTTTCTAACTGTTGTGTATGGTTTTGTTGGTGTGTTTATGTTGTGTTTTTTCATTGTTGCTCTTATTTTTTCTGTTATGCCTCTGATGTATGGTAGGGTTATCACTGGTTTTGGTTCTTGTCTCTGGGTTTCTGGTTCTTTGCTTAGGTTGTTCTTTTCTTTCTGTTGTTGTTTTCCTTTGTTTATTGCCCATGTCGGGTATCCGCAGATCTTTAAAGCATGTTGTATGTGTTTGTCCTCTTGTTTAAGGTCTCTTTCTTCTGTCATTATGTTTTTTCTGTGATATAATGTTCTGATTACTGACATTTTGTGTATGGTAGGGTGTTCTGATGTCCATAATAGATATTGGTCTGTGTGTGTTGGTTTCCTGTATGTGTTTATGTTTAGGGTCCCGTCGGTCTGCCTGGTTATTTTCATGTCCATAAAAGCTATGCTGCCTTCTGTTTCTGACTCATAAGTGAACTTTATGCTGCTTGTGTTATCAATGTTATTCAAGTGTTGTGTTAGAGTTTCTGTTTGTCCTTTTGGTATGATTTCCAGTATGTCGTCTGCTGCCCGCGGATAAACGGAGAAGGAAGTGACGCGCCACCATCAGCGTCAGCCTGAAGAAGCCTGCAGCCGCCGGCAAAACGTAGCGACAAAACAGGTAAACAAAACTGTTTCTGTGTTTTGAAAAGAACGACAGCATGGACTCTATTGGTCTGATGGGCCAGTTGGGTTGGTGGGCGGGATGTTACTGAAAAAACAAACATGGCTGCAGCTCGTTTGAAACAACTTGCATAAACTTTGGATTATTTCGGTTATTAGGCTTTTCTTTGAGTCAAGAGCAGATAGAGGTGTTTAAGTTTATTTAGAAAAAGGACGTATTTGCATCTTATTTTATGGAATATGGCTGACTGCCCTGTTGGCTGACACCTATAGCGGTGAGTTCATTACTTTGTTTGTCAACCAGCATGTGGAGACACTATGAGCCATAAATGGACTGTGGCCATCCTATGTATATTCACATATTTAGGATTTGCAGTTAGCTTTTAAATGGGAAAGCAAAGATGCACTAACGAGGGCTGCATTCCACTATATTAGCTTTGTAAAACTGCTATAGTTGGATACTTTGCAACTTTTTCCCACTTTTTAATAATTTTCTTGAGCCAGTGTGTGCTAAAACGACTCTTTACGGGGTTAAGGAAAGGTCACCCAGGCCCTAAGGCCAGAATATTCCACTTACAACTTCAGACCGGCGGGCGCCCTCTTGTCCAAAAGGGAGCTGACATGCCTGGTGCTGGAGTCTGGTTCCAGCACATTTCCTGCATGTTTTAGATCATGAACACAGCTGATTTGTTTAATTTAGTGATGAATCATCCTGTAGACACTAATGACGGCTGGGGAGACGTTTCAGCTGTTAGATTAAGGTTTTGAAAGCAAACACATGGCTAGGAGATACATTTTACTTTTGGTTCCACAAATGGACACTAGGGGGTGCTAAAAGCAAGCCAAAACTACCTTATTCCACCTTAAGTGGTTGAAATGTTTGAGAGTATGCATGTGATTCACTAACAGTGATCTGCAGGAGCATTACACGAAGGGCTAAAGTCATCAAATGGCATCTCTGCAGAGATTTTTTAAATTAATTTACTTTTCAATTTAGACATCTTGCATCTTGATGCTTTTCATCACGTGGAACAGATTGTTGTCCCCGATGAACCAACTAAGAAGGGGGAAAGAAAAATGAAAGTGTCTTCAGGGTGGACAGAGCTGAGGAACTAGCCTGGCCAGCCAGACTCTCTCTGTCTTAATTAAACAGAGAGAGTATGGCTGACCAGGCTACCGAGGAACTGGAAGCTCATTTAGATGTTAGGTTTACTGCGGGAGCTTGTGAACTGACTGAACACAAAAACACATCCTGATCAATAATATTTCTGCCTGTCTGAGTGGGCCACAGGTCAAACGTCTGCCTTTTTGTGCGTTACAGTTCATTTTTTTGTTCAACTGGAAGAAACCCTGAAACTGTTTATCCAGCGTTCGGCAGGCCGCAGACCTCATTGTGATTAAACATCCTGATCAACAGAAAAGCTAATTGACTCTAAAACACTAAAATCCCAGCGTCTGTGAATGTGGCACAGTGACTCTTCTGTTTGGGACATCACTGAGGGACTGTCACTGTCCCATCCTGGCTGTCCAAACCCGTCTTATTATCTGTCTAGATTGCTAACTCTGCAAAAGTCCAGCTTGCACTCTGATTTCTGTTGAGTTTGAAGTTTACAACAAATTTCAGGAGGTTACCGCACGCCGAAAGGAGAAAAGCCACAAAGAAGACACAGATCAGGTTTTCCTTTCCCAGAAAAAGTATTTTTCATTTTATCAGTACGTTTCATTTGTGATATGAAAGTGAAAAGCTAAATCTGCATCAAAAGAATAATTTTTTATTAGGTTGATTCTTTGTGTGTTCAAGGTCATAGGGGTCACTGTGCCCTGCCTTTTTTTTTTTTAGCTTACGCAGGGAGAAGGGTATCGCTGCAGACCCGGAGACCGCATTTTCAGGCCGACTATTGTACGCAGGTTGCCGCACCTACAAATGCTGTGTTAGCAAAGGTGAATAAATAGCAGCAGTGACCTTTCACCTGCAGATTTACTGTTAAACGCCCCTCCCCACCCTCCTGCCTGGATTCACCCAGTTTGAAAATCCCACGGACAAAGCCGGAGAGACAGATGGCCCCTAAGAGACCACACACACACACACACACACACACACACAAACACACACACCGGGTTAGACTAATACATGTGTTGATGTAGTCGCCACTTTTACCTGTAAGCTCCATCATCTTATTCTGACTGTTATAAATAATTCTGCGAATTATTTATAGTTTTGTAAATAATCCTGACGGGAAACGAGGTAAAGATGACCCAAAGTTACGGCCCCCATGCGGGACAGCGAGGGAGACCAGCGCCCCGGGAGCACAGAGGAATGCTGGGTAGTCTTGCACTTGTTGCCAAAGGAATGTCCCAGGACCTGTTATATAAACCCCCACCCCACCCCCTTACCCTGTCAGCAGCAGCTCCAATATGGCATGTACAGTCAGGAGCCTCAGAACTGAAAGTCATTCTGAATCAGCTTTGTCACACGGCAGGGAGAGAAACGAGAAGTGAGCAGTGAAACACGGCAATTATGGATTTATGTTGTTCCAAAACAGCAATCCGCAGCTCTCTTCTCCCGACCATCATTACTGTTTGGATAAGTCTGAGGTTTTGTGGGTAGAGAACATGAGCCGTACATTTCCTCCTGGACCTGCACACTCAGTTGTGTTCTGAGAACTCACAACTTTGCACCCTGATGTAGAGGTTTCCTTGTGAACTTTGTGCAGATCTCAGCTGATTTTGAGGTTTTACTTCACTTTGCAGCCATGTCAGGATTTCCACCACATTGTAATTACGGCTTAAACTAAATAAACTACCGTAATGGGACAGATTTATTCTAGCAGGTGCGAATTATTGTGATGTTTTGATATTTAAAGAAATGCAACTAGCCAATTAGTCACATACAGATCAAAACCATGCCCAGCTGAAGCTGCTTCAGGTGTAAAAGCTGCAAATTAATCAGGATTTATTAGTAAATGAGTTCAATTTGTTGTATTTGAAAAAAAAGAGACAAATCTAAGTTCCTCAGCTGTTCCGAACAGCCACATTTAGTTTTTATTCCACAGACACTTGATTTATATATATATATATATATATATATATGCATATATATCAAAAACATCAGCCGACATGTCCCACAATTAGAAAACACAGTTGTTGTCAATTTGCACATTGAGCTCAAGTCATGACAGAATAAAAGTGACCAAAAAAAAAAAAACTGTACAAATAAAAAAAAAAAAGAACATTCCCAGCACGTATTTCTGTATTGCATACACATTTAACAGGGAGTGGAAGATCAACCTTCAGCGTATCTTTTCAGCTGGATGATGATGAGTCGTTCCCGGCAGATTCACGACGCCAGCAGGTGCCGGTGAGCGGCAGCTCCAGCTCAACGCGAAGAGCGCCAGGTCTGGTTTTGATCATGCAAACGTGACAGAAACGTCCCGGAAACGTAGGTCTCAACACAAGAATCTACTAACGTAGTAAAGCTGTCCAGTTGTTCGTTGATGATGAGCAGTGCTTGTTTCTGAAAAGCATTTTAAATGAGTTAGACGTGTCTTCAGTACTCAGTGCTACATGACAGCAGCATCTCCAAAAGGCAAAGAGAGAGGTGTTTGAGTCGAGGCCAGAGGAGAGTCAAAAAGAGCTAAATCATTATAAAAGCATCCGATTTGAAAAATAATACTACAGCATTAATGTTTCTTTCAAAACAAGATAAAACTGCTAAAATCTTTGTTAATTATTCAAACTAAATATTACAAACAGCATCTACAGAGCGATAAATCATTTCTAATAAATACTTAAATTATTATGCAACACAATACTATTCCACTCGTAGCCAAAAGGGTATAAGAAAATAGATTTGCACAATGCCTAAAGGCAAAAAACAACAAGAAGTTTTGTCAAGAGGTCTGTAGGTTCAACTCTGTAGCCTACTGGGGGGGGGGGGCTGTCGGGTCCCTTTGGACCTGCGATGAGAAGCTTTGGCACAGAAAACACCAGAAAACAAGATGAGACGTCACAGCACGGTGCTGATGAGGGACACTCATGCAGGCCTCGATCCAGTCCTGGAGAAGAGGAGGTCCGTGTATCCCAGCATGCATCACAACCATGCTGCTGGGAGAAGCAAGACAACGGGAACGAGGCTACGGATCAAATTCGTGAACAGGAACAAGTCATTTCTAATCAGGTCCGACAATTCCAGCTTCCTTTAAATGACAGCGATGTCTTCCCGTTTCCTCTTCCACCCGTTTTCACAGAGATGACTCCACCTCTCTGGTGACGGCGACCTCGGCCTCAGTCCGAGGGCAAACCTGAACCTCAGCAGCCTGCTCTGGGGTCTCGCTGATCACCTCCAAGCCCGAGGCGAGAGCAGCTTTGCTGTCACTGCCGGCCTTCTGTTTGTCCGTGGAGCCGCAGCACAGTTTGGGAGCGCACTGAGTCCTACAGGAGAGCTCGCACAAGGAGTCCCGAGACTCCGAGCTGAACGTGACGAACTCCGGCTGGATGGTGGTGGCGTGGATGCCCTCGTCGTGGAAGAAGTCCTTGATGCGCTTGGCTACCTCCATGTAAGCTGTGGGGTCGTGGCATTTGATGTGTGCCGTGGCAATGATCCTGCTCCCGGCCAGCTGCCAGATGTGCAGATCGTGGATGGCCAGGACGCCGTCCAGGCCCAGCAGCCGCTCATTCAGGTGGTGTATGTTGATCTGCTTGGGGACAGTCTGCAGCAGGATGAGGGCTGACTCTTTCAGCAGCGGGTAGGTTGTGTAGAGCAGGATGCACACCATGATGATGCACAGCGTGGGATCCATGTAGAGAACCCAGCAGGGCCCAGCGGTTACTGTGGAATTGCCATATTGGTTGGCTATGGCGTGTTTGTCGGTACAAAGGTCCACGCAGTTTTCTCTGCCCTTACAGCTATTCCACACAAAAGTGAAAATGACAGAGTTGACCACCACAATGACAGAGCCCAGGGCGTCCCCCAGCACGTGGAGGAAGACCCCGCGCATGTTGAGCTGCGACGACGAGTCGTGGTCAAGGTCCAGCTCGTCGAAGTGGGTGTTGCCATTCATCTGCAGCTCTGGGCTGTCCGTACAGCTCACGTCTGAAGATAAACATCAGAAAAGTGAGTTCAGATCACCACAGACTTTGACACCAAGATACTGAAACATAGGAAGTGTCAAAAGGAACATGTGAAACAAACAAATCAAACTTTAAAGATCTTCACCAAGATCTTGGGACTGCACACAAGAGAGAACATGCTGTGAATGAATGAGTGAACTCCTGGAGTGCGGTATCCTAAATAGAACATAACACTACACTCACAGTAAGCAAATTCAATTAGCGACTGCGGGCAGAGAGGCAGAGCTGGGGGAGCAGCACCTGAGGAACGGCCACGGCTCTTTTCCATCCAGGGGCGCCATCGGGTCATTCATCAACCGCTAATGGTGTGTCTGGGTCTGTCGACTCCACGGTTACACTGATGTATGACCCAGTAGCAGCAATCAGTGCATAGAGAAGGGGATATAGTGGCCATTTATTGAAGCTGTCAGAGCCTAACTGTGTGTGTGTGTGGGGGGGGGGTCTTCTGTATATGGGTTTAACCCTTTATTGATGGGAGGGCACTGTAGGACCAGCAGCTTATTGGGTGATTTTTCTGTGTGACCTTAAGAAATTTAAGCAACAAAAAAGAGCTACAAGAACATTTCAGATCTGACTTTAAAACACCAGATGTTTCTAAAAACAGCTGGGAGAAGGAACACTCGTCACAGGAGTTTAGTTTCTAAGGATTTACTGACCCAACAAATAAATGTTACCAAACATCCGTGACCAAAACAACACAGCTGTCTAAGAATAATGGGCTTAAGCAGACCTCATGGTGGATTGATGACTAACTGCTGTAGTTTTGAGTCATCTGGGGTGTTTAATTTATTAGAAGGAGATCTGTGAGAAGTCTGATTATAACCATTCTGTCCACACTTACCGGTTCTGGGTCTCCCATCACCAGGGCTGCTGTGGTTCCCCACTAAATTGTTGGACTCCTCTCCAGCTGACCCGTTGCCAGTCTTCTGCGCTTTTCCTCTCTTGCCTTTGCCTCCGTGAGAGTGACCCCCGTGGGAGTGACCGTGGCCTCCGCCGGCGTGTCCGTGGAACAAACACAAACCGAGTAGGTTGACTAGAAGCCCCGCGGCTCCGACCCCGGCGACCACCACCGGCCTCTCGATCTCATGCGGCTCGGTGAAACGCTCGATCACCTCCAGGACAATGGTGAAGCACAGCGCCGTGAGGAAGACGGCGTTGACCAGAGCCCCCATCACCTCCGCCCGGATCCAGCCGAAGGTGTTCTTATTGGTCGAGTGGGTTTTCTCGGCGAACCGCACGGCGACCAGAGCCACGACCAGGGCGATGACGTCCGATAGCATGTGAAAAGAGTCCGACAGCATGGACAGAGAAGAGGTGATACGACTCACCACCACTTCTACGATGAAGAAGCCGAAAGTCAGAGACAGCATACACAGCAAACGGGCACGATTGGGCTCGCAGGCCATCTTGATTTCTTTAGTTTTTCGTCGATTCAAGTTTAGAATCAGATAACGCTTCACCGGGTCTTCCCTGACATCTGTGAGCCACCTCCCTGAGACAATGCAGTCGATGCTAACAGCTTCCGATGCTGATATCTGGCAGCAGCTATATCAAAGACCAACGACGAGGAAAACTATTAGAGGAAGTAACTAAATTCTAGTAACCGTGTGAATAGATCACAAACGTCACCAGCACATTTCAGACACGTCTGTCGACGAGCTCCAGTTTGCAGACGGCTGAAACTTTGCACCCGAGCCGGTAAACTTTCCACACGGAACAAGACGCGCTAGGAACCGCCCACGATACCTCTGATTGGACGAGGAGCACCTAAGAAGGCATATGATTGGTCGAATGTTATTACGTTTGTAACTAAGTAGGAGGTGCTAAGGAACCAGACAACGCTGGTTGCTACGCTACGCACGCTAACTGTAAATCTCGCGATATTTTATGACGCTATGTGTGTGATCGATGATTTTGCCAACATTTATTCCGCTTCATCAATGAAGATAATTCAGTCAAAGAAGGCAAACATCAACAGATTTTTGGAAGTCTTTGATTTGTTTCTAGCACAATTGAGTCGTTTTCTCAAACCATGCTTGTGAATCAGGCCTAGAGCTGTGTCTATAATTGCTAAATAAATAATCTAATTTATTAATCGGCTTCAGTGTTTAGTTATTCTAATGATGTTCACCAAACAAAGCAATGACTTCCAGGTGTGGTGATCTCTGCTTTGTTGCCCGTTATCAAATGTATCACAGGAAACGTGATGACCCCTTGTGGGGTGTTTAAGAAAGGTACAATAAAATCAATACTTAAAAAAATGTGTGTGTGTGTGTATATATATATGTATATGGAATGAAATCATAATTTTCAGTGTTTAAAGGAAGCTAACATTTATAGTCACGGAACAGGTTTCTTTATTAGCAGAGGTTCTGGAAATATTCCTAGAATAAGCTGCCTTTTCATGCCAATTATCAACAAAATTGATAAACAACCTCAAATCAAAGCAAAAACATACAAATTACATTCTAAAATCACTTTAGCTGCCTGTAAGATTAACACACACATCACACTGTGCAGCTGAATAAAACTGACACTACAAAACTAGAATAAAATACAAGACATATTTTGACTAACAGATTTGCTATAGTCACAATTGCACTTTTATCTTATAAATTACTAGATGTACATGAAATTGTAAAGATTCAGCCCTTCACATTCATATGCAACAGTTTTGTTTAACGGATGCCAAGGATCTGTCTACTCTTAAACTGACAGATCTTCTCCACTTCATTCAGTTTTTTGGCACGAAGCTTGGCTGCCTGCAGTCTCCTCAGCACTAGCTCCTGTGACGTTGCGCTCCGATCATCAAGCTGCTGATTCTCTTTGCTTTCACCGGCAAAGTGGACCTTCTTCTTACCCGGAGACAGATTCTCCAAATCTACACTCAAAAAAAATGCAAAGTCAAATCACTAATAAGCAAACATCAGGATAAGCTTTATTCAATCAGGAACTTAAACTTCTGCATTGACAACAGACTTCAGATTGCACATTGTGTGGTTTGAGTCTTTAAAATGCAAGTTTAATTTAATTAAGACAACACAGTTGTATAAAAACTTTATTTACATGACATAAACCTGATTAATTTCAGTGATTAAAGTTCATTAACATAAAAACATCTCAGTTCAGTTTGTCCAAATGTCTCCGTCGGTTTCTCATACCTATGTCTCTGCCATAGATCAGTGCCAGGTCCTTCTGGTGCTGCAGGTCGCCGTAATTCTTCAGCAAACTGTCTGCTCTAAAAAGCACAGATAGAGGGAGAACAAGAATCAGCTGAAAAGACCAACAAAGAAAGACGGCGTTGAATGTGCAAAATAGGTCAAATGTGGGTTTTTTGTAGAGAATTTACCGTGCTAGCTTTTCATTTGCCAGTTTCTCACGGACACACAGCTCCTGCTCCCTTTCTGGAGTTATGGAAAAGAAGGAAACAAAAAAAAAACAACAACAACATTGTTTCCATGAACACTCTGCAACATGTTAACACCACAGTTAAGCCAGGGGCTGAAGTAGGTCAGCGTTTGACTGTAATATTTGTTTTTTGTTAAAGATAATAAACCAGTTCCATCCACACAAATTGGTTTGACTACAACGCATCAGTCTTCAACCAGCACCTTTAGTTACAGATACGCTTATTTCATTTATTTATTGCTGTGAACATCACCTACAGGGTTCAAATCAGTGCCACCTACTGAAACAAATGCTTGTTTGTTTTTCAAAAATGGGGAAACTTTGCTTTATTCCCCAAACAGATTCTCCCTTTTTAGTTCTTTCTAAAATCAGCATTAGGAACTTTAACGTTTTATTTGCAGGTGGAGGAACAAACTTCTTCTAGATAATGAATTCCACAACAATCAAAAGAAGGCTACATATGTTGCTAATCATTTGCATTTTTACAAAGTGACCCAACTTCTTAGAAACAGGGTTAAATATTACCGTTCTGTTACACATGATGTTTGTGTAGCACAAGTCTTACTCTCAAGTCTCTCCTCATGCTCCCTCAGGGCGAGTTCCCTGTCCCGCACTGCCTGTTCCCTCAGTCGGAGCTCTGCAGCTGGGATAGACACTTCAGCTGGCTTATGGGGGGCGCGGTCAGGGTCTGGAGACTTCCTTTGGGTCCGTATCTGTGCCTTCCTCTGCTCCTCGGAGACCACGTCTCTCAGCAGACTGCTCTGGAGGATCGACTCCACAGACGGCCTCAGATAGTCCTGCCAACAGTGAGGAATGATTTCAATTCAAAAATACTTCATTGATCCCAGAGGAAAATTCAAATTTGTGCATCATCACAGCAGGAAAACATGCACAGTGCCTACAAAAGTGCACAGCCATCTTACACACTATTACAACATTGTTAAATAATTCATTCCAAACCTTTAAGTTGAGCATCTTGCTGAGTAAGGCATTCAGCTCCTCAGAGTACCGGTATGGGATTCGTCTGAACTTTCCCTCTCGGATCTTCTCTGCCAAGTCTTGCTGGTTGTACGCTGTGAACGGAGGCCTAAATGAGAAAAACCCAGGGAATATTCTTAGGGGTGTTGGAAAACTGCTACAGGGAAGGAAAATGTGTGGAAGAGCTTACAATAATGCACAAAGTTCATACAGCAGGCACCCCAGGGACCAAATATCAGACTTCTCGTTGTACGACATCCTGTTAATTTGTTCCTGCAAGAACAATAATGACTGAAATTGAGTCATTTCTATAAAAAGAGAGATTTTTAAATGTTTATTTTAATGTGTAAAATCTATTTTTAAACTGTAGATCTGGAAAAGCAACCGTCTCATATACAGGTGAAAATGATTCATAACTAAACAATATAAATAAAATTCTAGTAATATGTTCAAATGAAGACAATAAAACAAAAATTGCAAATATCCCAGAAACTTTTATAATCAAAAGCTCAACAGATGTGACATCATCAAGTAACTTACAGGAGACATGTAGTACGGCGTTCCCACAAAAGTCTTTGCAAAGCTGGTGTCATGGTTCAGAATCCTTGCTAGACCGAAGTCACCGAGCTTAACGTTCTGTTTAATGTCGAGGAAGATGTTGGCTGGTTTCAGGTCCCGATGCAGGACCGTAGCCCTGCCATCACGCCGCCTGTGACACTCCTTCAGGGCCAAGGTGAGCTGAGCCATAACTCTCAGAATGAACCTCTCCTCCAAGTAACGCCTGGAGAGGAACTAACTTGTAACTTTGCAGATTCACAGAGGACAGACGCATTCGTGAGCCCTTACCTTTCTTTGATGCACCGGCTGATGAGACTGGAAAGGTCTCCACCTTCACAGTACTCCATGACGATGTAAAGCGTGGTGTTCGTACGATCTATGATGCGGTCGTAGTATCTCACTATGTTTGGGTGCTTGAGCTCCCGCAGCAGGTTCACCTCTGACACCAGCATCTGCTTCTCACTCTCTGCCATGGTGCCGTAGTCCAGCTCCTTCCACACCAGAATCTACAGAACACATGGGCATCATTTACAAAGAGTTTTGTCGTGAAAACATACAGTTTTTACTCCAATTAAGAAAAAAGGGGCAGATACGAAATGTATTCACTAGACGTAAAAAGGGCCTTTTTGTCAAATGAAATCCTTTCTATCCTGAAATACTAATTAAAAGCTGCAAAAGATTTCCAAAAGGAGCAAGTGAATGGTCTCTTAGGCTGTTGAATATATCTGGCAACTATAAACTACTTTGCAGCACTTTTTTAAAATCTTATATTGTGTTAATTCTGAGTATATTTTGATAGATTGGTGTAATTAGCAATACAGACTGTGTTTCAAACTTATTAAAATTCTAAATGTTTAATTATTTTAATGTTTCACACACATTTTTTCAGCTGTTAAGAGTCCCAATCACTGCAATGAACAACTACAGGCACTTTATGGCGAATCGTCTTGCTTTAAACATTTTACCAGCTGTTTTTTTTAGACTTCGTTTGGAGACATACTCACTTTCCCGTCATTTTTCCGTCTCACTTTCTGGCATCTTCCATAGGAACCGGAGCCTATGGTGTACAACACCTCGTAGTCCTCAACACGGGTCGGCATCTTGTTTTAGTCAACGCTAGCGTCAACGTTAGGGCAGATTCACACAAGATTTAAAGCTCGTTTAAACCAGAAACTTCAAAACTTATTGAGATTTTTAGCAAAGTATCGTTTGTCTGACCAGATGATTAAAAAAATAGAAATGTACGTTTACTTATTATTTACTCACTTAAATCGCTTCTGTGTGTTGTTTGTTTCTCAGAATCAGGAAGTATTTCTTCTGTTTAAAATTAGTGCTGAAATACCAGCTCGTGATTGGCTCATTCGCTCCATCTTGTGGCTTCGGATTGGTCAATGTGAAGAAACAACTCACGAGGTTGTCAGGTACCTAAGTACCGCGATAGTAGCGCGGGTAGACGGTATTATTGTTAAACTGTCCACACGATGGCGCTAAAACCCATGGTATGAATGACAGGACCATGATGACATCTAATATATATATATATATATATATATATATATATATATATATATATATATATATATATATATATATATATATATATATATATTTTTTTTTTCAATATTTATAGAACAAATCAAACAAGTGTTTTGACGAATAGATGTTGTGATAAAAACATATAAATTTAACATTGTATATTTCAGTAAATTGTTTGGGACTTTTTATCAACTTTGTGATTTTAAAACACCTTCTGCTCGGTTAAACTTTTAATATAAGTTTTAAGCAGGTGTTTTATAGTTGATAATTTGGCTATGTAATGTTAGCCTTTTTAGAGAGATCTGTTTGCTTGTGTTTTTAAAACCTTTTTGTTACAAATAAACCCATTTTAAACTCCTCCACCAGTTCTTATGTTACCCCCATCCTTCACATTTTTACAACACCTGTCGGGGACGTAACAAATTGTCTCGACAGTGAAATGAAACAATCTAAATCATTTTCTGTATTTTAAAAAAGTGTCAAATGTCTCATGATGAAATAATAGAACTTAAGTAGGCTGATAGACTTGTTTTGTGTTGGGGGTGTGAGGGGTGGTGGGTAATGTCTTGATGTGAAAAAGAGGCAGATATAAGTTTTTGCTTCTTTCTGCTCCTTTTCATTTATGATTATTTGGGAACATGAGTTGTTTTATGTAACTTTTATTTGATTGATTGAATGAAATAAACGAAGAGAAACAAACTCATATTGTTCATTTCATTACATGATTTAATTATGAAAGTTCCTCCTTCTTGTTCTGTGAAGCAAAGCAGTCTTAGATAAGAGGGAGCTTGCGAGGGACCTTGGGCAAGCAACAGTATCTTTCTTGCAGATTAAAAGCACCAGTTAAGACTTATGTCTCCAAATGACCAGATACTGAAGAGGGCACACTGTAGATGAAAACTGACCATTTCTGGAGGCTATAATAGGCTAAATACCCCAGAATACTGCTGTTAAATTACAACTGTTTAACTTTGAAAATGGCATCTCATAAGTCCTAAAACTTTTTTGTTAAACCACTCAAACCTCCTAAATAAGGAATTCATCTATTTCATTTATCTCTCCTCCCCAAAACTTTTATGACTACTTAGGCATCAACATTTTTATTTTCATTTTAAACAAGGATAAGCTCTAAATGATTGTTTTTTGCATTCTCCCCAAACCCATAACAAGGGAAAAGCAACTTTAATTTTAGTTTTGGCTTGTAAAACTCAAATCTGAGAGGAGTAAATCCTCTCAGTGACAGACGATTCCTCTAAACGTGTGATCCCCACGTGGGATAAATGCAGTCTCTGGGATCTCTGTTAGTTAGCGGTCTTCTGGAACGATTCCGATTATCCTCTCTGCTTGCCAGCACCACACATCGAGTGAGATCCCAGAGCCGGTCTGTCAGTCTGCCTCTGCAAAGGTCACTCCTCCAAAGAGCTGGAGGAGTTTGGACATCAGCCAGGAACAGTTGTGGGGAGGAGGAGGAGGATGAAGAGGAGGAGGGAGCGAGTGGAAAACTGACAGCTAAAAACAACAGAGACGATTGGATGCTGGAGGCGGCTCTGATGTCAGCCATCCCTGTTAAAGGAGGAGGAGATCCGGGGCAACAGGGAGGAGGACAGATATCTCCATCCCACAGTGACCTCCTCACCTCGGCTGAGGTGACTGTAATCGAGATTATGAGTGGCTTTTAGACCTCCCATGACCTGGGATTCCCTTGTTGGGGAAACATTTCCTCCAGAGCTGGAAATGGCTGTGGAAATCTACTGCTAATTTTTCATGCAAATGATTTAGCAAACATTTTTTTTTTACTATTTCTTATTTTTCTACCATTTAGAAAACTTTCATCACATTTAAATGGAAATTGCATAAAAATCGTCATTTACCAACATATTATGTTTGGCATAATGTTGGCTTCACCTAGGTATTAAATAAAAATATAAATAATAAACCAAAACCTAAATGTTAAATATAAACTTAAAATTTAATTATAAATATTAACTTTACTGTGAAATCTAAACCTAAATATTAAATCAAAATAATTGTTAAATCTAATTCAAAATATTAAACTTAAACCTGAATGTTGAATCTAAATTTTAAATCTGAATAAAAATATCAAAACTAAATTTAAATATTAAATCTGAATCAAAATATTAAATCCAAACTTATTAAATCTAAATCTAAATATTGAATGTAAACCTAAAAGATTATTCTAAATGTCAAATCAAAATCTAATTGTTGGTTATGAATCTAAATATTGATAATGAATCTAAATGTTAAATCAAAACCCAAACATTAAATCTACATCTAAATGTTAAACCTAAACATAAATGTTAAATATGAATCCAAATAATAAACTTAAACAGGAATGTTGAATCTAAAGGTTAGATCTAAATCTGTGAGCTACATATTTGAGTATTCAAGGTGAAAGATAGAGAGCACAACTGGTCAATATTTGTTGTTGGCGGGGCCACAAATGTCATGGGTAGTTTGAGGGGTGTGGTTAACTAGCTTAAAACCAAAAGTTTTAGCTAACCGATTTAGATTTAACATTTAAATTAGGGATGGACAATATATCGGTATCAATATCTGTATCGGCCGATGTTAGTAATTTTTTAACATATCGGTATTGGTTCGATAAATAAAACCAGGCCGATATAAACAACCAATATTATTTCCGTCTTGTCTCCATTTGTTTGCCTGTTTCAGAGGGCGAGGGAGGTGATGTGTAATTGTTTAGTCATGTAAACAGTGAATGAAATTGTCTCAGAACCGAAAATGTGTGTGTTGTGTGTGTACATAATAACGTACATTCAGCTTTAATAATTTTCATTCTATACAATATCTGCTGATTTTAGAAGCATTAATGTCAGTATATCGTTGGCAAATATCGATTATCGGCCATAGCGGTGATCTTAATATCGAATATCGGTATTGGCCCAAAAATTTCATATCGGTGCATCACTAATTTAAATGTAACATTTGTATTTAAATTTTAGGGTTAGATTAAACATTTGTATAGCTGAAATATGAAATGTTGACGATTTAATGATTTTTAGTCAATTTCCAACTAAAATGTAATGAAAGAGTCTTACATGTAAGAAAAATAAGCTAAAAATGACAGTATGCCCATGTCCAGATGTCTTCGGGTACACCCAGGACCGGCTGCCAGTCCATCGCTGCATGGGCCAACAAACCATGCTCGCACACACTCACACCTAAGGACAATTTAGAGAAACCGATCAACCTGACAGTCACTTTTTTGGACAGAGAGACCCCAGGCCAGGAGGTGAACCCAGGACCTTTTTGCTGCAAGGCAACCACTGCGCCACTGTGCAAAAATGGTTATTGTGGTTTTAGACAGGATCTATGGAAAAGTATTTTCTACCGGAACGTTGACATCACCTCTTCAGATATGGATCAAGTATGGCTTGATCAGCCGCAGCAGGTCAGGAGGCTCCATGAAGCTGTCACAGTCACATTCAGTTCTCAACAGCTGGATGTTTTACTGCTCGCTGACTCAGGGGACGCCTCCATCACTGGAGCATTCACGAGGGAGCGAGCATCAAAGCACGACACCGGGGACCTCAGGGGAGCCGAGGAATAGTTGCAGCTGTGAAATGGATCATTGCAGGTGACTGAGGTGGTGCATCTGCAGAGGGCATTAAAGTTATTCTGGAGATGGATTTGTCAGTGTGACCTTGGTCTTCTCCATGAGCAGACCAAACGGAAGAGTAGCCAGACTGCCTCTTCACAGTTAACCTTTGGTATTTTGGTACAGCTTGGTGCAGATTTGATCCCATTTTCCAGCTCACTTCCTGCTGTTCAGCCTCACATGCCTAAAGCATGTGGCGTCTCCTGCAGACCTGACCCTCCACTGTGCAGCAGTGCAGAAAATTTGAGGCCAGCTGGCAAAACAAAGCATGTTTTATTTCATTTCTGACGTTAAAATTGGTGGCCTGCTAGCTGGATCTGCAATATTCTCCCCCATGGACGTAATTTTCACTTTAGAAGTGGGGGGGGGGGGGGGGGGGGGGGGGACACGGGGGTGGCGGTGGGAGGGGTATCTTTACAGTATGTTCTAATAGGAAACAGGCTTCAACACAAAAGGTTGTTTTCTGCTTGGTCCTAGAGCTCAACCAGTGTCAATTTAATATAAAATAATATTGTTTTTGGATGGTAAAAAGTGCAGGGGTCAAAACTTGACTATGGAAAAAGTGGGGGGGGGGACATGTCCCCCCTGCCCCCCCCCCAAAATTACGTCCATGTTCTCCCCCAAAAAATGCAAACAAAGACTAGACCGAGAACCTCCTTCTTCCTCCCCTAAAAGTTTTGAGTCTTATTTAGCAACAATTTGTAAATGTTTAGCAATGAGCTGAAATTCACTTCATCCTGAAATAAATAGAATGCATTAAAGTTGCGTTATCACACCTATCCCCTGCATCAGTAAAAACAGTTAAGTATTTTGGTGAAGGTTCTCAGTCATCATCATGGTAATCTAAAGAGGCTAGAATGAAGGTAGCTGCCTTCATTCTAGCCTCTTTGGATCCTTTTAATCATAGAAGCATAACAAGTGAAAGATCTGGTTAGGAGACATCTCCAGGGACGTGCTGTTCTGACTCAAACAACACAGTCTGAAACAATAAATGTAGTTTCTTTGTTAATGTCTAATGTTTTCACATTTAAGCATTAAGTAATGTGAACGCACGAAGAAATCGGAACATTGACAACACGTGTAGAGTCAGTAATGATGTTAGAGGTCCGTTGGGTTAATGTACTGTTGAATTTAAATGTTATAATCATCAATAGAATTATTTACGAAAAAAATTACAAACTTTTCATTTTAAGCTGGGAAACATTTATGAGCTTATGCTAATTTAACATTAATTTCATAAGCGGAGCAGCCTTGGCTAAATTCAGAGATGGCTTTGGTCCCAGGGCCTGGAAATCACACAGTCCACTCCTCAGGGATGGCCCAAATAAAGAGATTTCCTCAGTGGGATATATTAAGTATAAATTATTGTTATTTTTTTAATGTGTCTGTTAATTAGAGCAGCAAGCTATCATTATTTTATTAATTAAAAAAACCCATTAAACTAGTCTGTAGAAAGTGGGTTAATTAGTTTTGAGAACAAGATATTAATGAATTAGCTGAAAGGTAAAAGTTCACACATTTTTTCAACACATTTGCAGTGGTCTCTAGAATAAATGAATGTGTGGATCTCCGTGAAAAAAACTCTGGCGCTACTGTTTCAGGAAGTAAAGAGGGGAGCAGGTGGCAGGAATTGGAGTTTTACTTCCTGATATTTGGACATCTTGCTTCTGATTGGCTAACAACAGCGTGACGCTACCTGACAACAGGAATGTTGATGTTTTATCTCCACAAATTACACAAGCCTGAAGGAGTTCTGCCATGTGGTGAAGATGCTAATGCTAATGGTTAGCTTCTACTAACCATGATGTTCTTTGGGGTTTCTCTCCATCCATCCATTATTCATACTCGCTTATCCACGCAGGGGCTGGTGCCTATCTCCAGCAGTCTTCAGGCAATCAGGCGGGGTACACACTGGACAGGTTATCAGCCCATCGCAGGGCAACACAGACACACAGGACAAACAACCACACTCACACATAAGGACAATTTACAGAGGCCAATCAGCCTGACGGTCACGTTTTTGGACTATGGGAGGAAGCCGGAGCACCTGGAGAGAACCCATGTGCAAATTCTTGCAGAAAGTCCCCAGGCCAGGAGCTGAACCCAGGAGCTTCTTACTGCAAGGCAACAGCGATAACCACTGCACCACTGTGCAGCCCCTCTGCTGTTTCCTGGATGCTAAACCGACAGTCCATTAATTCTAATTTTCAGTGTGACATAGATCTGACTGGCTTTTCTAATCCAAGCGTTTCCTCGTCCATTTTCTTTTGGCGACAAAAGCAGGAAATAAGAGTGGAGGACTATTTTCACTTTCAGCCCGCATGTGGAACTCGGAGTGACCAGTCATATTTAAAAATTAACAAGTAAAAAACGGTTTCTCAGCGAACTTGGTCTTTAAATGCACAAAAAACACATTTGCAGTTAAGATTTTGTCTGATGAGTAAAATTTCAGAGTTCCTACACTTACTGCTTCAGTAAAGTCTGATTCTTCCACTTAAGTATAATTAAAAAACAAAAGATGTTAATAAATTGTTTCTAATCTGAATGTGAGCATCTTGAAAGTGAGTTTTCTAAAGAATATGTAAGAATATTGTAGGGTTAGGGATGGGAGACGATCAAAATAAAATGTAATCATATTCAGGAAAATACAACAAATTAATATCTGTATACTCTTACTTCAGTGGTTTGCATTTAGTAGGGAAAAAATTCACTAAATCAGTAAATTATTTTTTATTCATATATATATATATATGTATATATATATATATATATTATTGGAATAAAAACTACCATTTTCTTTTTTCAGAGTCACCATCACCACAAAAAAAAAATCATACAATGAAGAGATGCACACTGTTAGGGTCTTTATGATGTTTTATTCCAGCACAAGTTCCTTGTGTTGTAAAATGGCTGTGTAGCTAGGAATTAAATGAGAAGTACAAAATGGAAAATTAAAGTCGATTCTAGTACATGTTTAAATCCTCCATTGTGTTCATTTCCTAAACCCACTCCTAGAAGAACGTCATTTTCCTGCTTTCTTTGGAAACACGGTTGAACATAAAAGAAGAAAAAAAATGGACGATGTTTTAATTTCAAGTCACTCTCACAATGAAAGAGGGGGTCTGAAATGTTCTCACCTACCTGAACAGGTAGCCCTTTTTTTTATTTCACACAGTTTTTACCAACAGTGGCACAGCAGGAGGACAGCAACGAAAATGCACCTTTTTTGCATTATTCTGACAATGATATAACGATTGTTCCTCCATCGTTTTAATAATTAAAGCAGAATTATTAAGCTACTAATTAATCTGACCTCACAACAACAGTTTAGGAAAGCTCCCCTCGATTGGCCCACTTTTATCTCGACACCATTTTCATAAAAAATACAAAGGTGCCACATAGGAGTGTGAGGAAACTGCATTATTTAAGATAGTGATAAGGCTTGAGAGTTCTTCCATAAAAAAAAAAGGAAAACATAGGGTAATACTGAATAAACAAATTAGAATTATTAAAATTATTACAGGCCAAAAAAAAAAATATAAAAGTCAGGGTAGACACTGCAGTCACTTCCCACATTTTCTCAACTTTATGTACAAGATTTAAACATACGCGTTGAAAAGAACGGTTCAAGTCCTCTAAAAGAATGAAATGTCGACCACTGGAGGTGAATCTGGATTCAAACGTCACAGAGCAACACGACATGAGTCATATATATATATAAAAATGAGGGGTAAAGACAACCACACACACTCACTTAGGCAGGTTATGCTGTAAATTTACAGTTTTTGACACCTACGATTCTGTTTGCCAAAATCTCTACAGTAGAACGCAGAACATCGGGATAGCTTCTATAAAAACAAACAAAAAAGGTCTTTTTCCCACTGCCGACGTTAAGCATATGGCTTAAATATCTGTGAAGTCCATTAGGGGGAGTTCTCCTCACCGGCTCAGGGTTTGTGCGCATTTTTAGACGCTAACAGCAACAGCAGAGAGGGCGAGACGAAGAATTCTCAGAGCTTTCCCTGCCTTTTATGTTTTGAAAATCAGGATTATTTAGCTTTTTTTTTTAATAACAATTTTTACTCAAAGTGATCATCCTTTTGAACAAGATCCATCTTTTTATCAACAGCAAGCTGAAAGAAAAAAAAAAGAAAAAAATAAACCCGCCACAGAAGACAAGAACGGTCCTGACGATGGAGAAATAATAAAAAAAATAACCCATCAACAACAAATACAATGGCCGTTGTTGTGAAGATATGCGGGTCAGGGGAATAAATAAATAAAAACATCGACAGCTACCATTTTTGGAGTCTTTCCTAGGGCGGGAGTGGGGTGGGGGGGGTGGGGGGTGGGGGGGGCGCGTATGGATCCTTAGTGCAATGAAGGCCAGAGGAGCTGCGTCGCTCTGGGACGTGTCGCCAGCCAGAGAGGTCCGCTGGGCTTCAACGACTCTCACGAGGAAGAAGAGTAAGGGCGTTTTACATCTAATCCAATGTTACCTGTTCACGTTTTTGTCCGTACTTCCTCCGTAGAGCTGCTGCTCCTAAAGCCTCGGAGGGGAGTCTGGTCCGGTCCAGAGCGCCTTCTGGTGGAGTCCTGAGCCTCGTTTCATTAACTCGAGTAAAAGTCATGTACACGTCTACATGAATGGGGGTGAGTGGGTGGGTGGGGTGGGGGGTGGGGGGGTGGCGTGTAAACATTAAAATGTGAGGGGTGAGATTATTCAGCTGGAGCGAGCGTGTGCAAGTCGACTACCTCTGGGACTGTTTTTCTACGGGTGTTTCTAGTGATTTTTGCTGTTGTTCCCTGTTAATCTCTCCACTGTAGCAGGTGTACATTCATCCATCGTAGAGGGAGGGGGGTAAGCGTGACGATGGGTCACACACCGACCGATCCTGAGGCTTCTCCAGTGGTCCGATGAGAGACTCTCGGCTCATCGGCGCTCTCAAAATAAACAGCAGTAGAGGTACTGGAGGACGTTGTACCAAATGTAGCCGGAGGCAAAAGCAAACGACTGGACCATGCACAGCCACATGGGGTCAAGGGTCATCGGCCGGGACACTGCCTCCTTCTGGCCTTCTGGAGGAGGGAATGATCCTGTGATGGGAGAAAGAAACACGGACTCAGTGCTGTTTAGTTCTGAAGGGGAGGTGATTTATTACATTGTTGTTGTTTAGAACAGATCATAAAGTTAACTCATTCACTGCCAATGACGACTAAAGTCGTCATTTGAATTTTTTTACTGTTTGAGCATCGGAACGAGCCCCTGCACTGAGAACAAACATCTCAGCCCTGAAGCCGATCTTCATCCGCATACGTCACAGATCACATGATCAGGAAGCAACACATCCACGTGTTTGGAGATCGTTTTGGGCCGTTCCTGTAAAAAAAGTGAGGCGCGAACCGGAAAAGCGTCTGCCGATCACAATTCAACAACGGATTATGAAAGAACGGATAACGCTTGAAACACGCGGCTTCTTCCTGATGTAAGAGGTGAGTCTCTTCTTTGTTTTGGTTGTTTTGGCATCGACATCATGCTAGCGCGCAACGTTCTGTGACTCTTAAAAAACAGTACAAACGGTGAGAAACGCTGGCAGCGAAGGCCGTTAGTGATCAGGAAACGGCTGGCAGTGAATGAGTTAACAAGCACTGTGTGTGTGTGTGTGTGTGTGTGTGTGTGTGTGTGTGTGTGTGTGTGTGTGTGTGTGTGATCTTAGCTATAATTTACTAGGGTGTCCCATTCAAGAATCCTAGTGCCAGATTAGTTTATTTTTTAGATGACAGCACAAAATACACCATAGAGACAAAAAGTGGATCAAATGAGTTCCTAGAGGATCACAGTGTAGGGCGACAGTTTCTCCACACTCCAGGAAGAGCAAATTGATTTAATTTGCAGTAATTTTGTTGGGTCTCCTGATGAAAGGGTTCCTGTCACAACAAAGAGTTCTAGGGAGAACATTAGTTACAGAATTCCTTGTGGAATTCTTGGTTAAATGGGAATGCTGGGACAGGTAACTTACTGATTCTTAAGAGTGGAATCAGGAATCATAACAGCACTTATGTTTTAAGTAAACAAATGCAGGAAAACTTTATTGATGTCATGGCTTGATTTTATACAGACTCCAATTAAAGAGCAAGTCACCCCCAAATAAATATTTTTTGGCTGATAAACTATATAAATGAGCGTCTAATCGTGCTGCAGACACGTGTAGTCAATAATTTTGCACTTTAGTGCATCTTAGTTAAAATAAAAATTTTCTCCCAAAACTGTTAGCATTTGAATTTAAATCCGCCATCGCTATTGGCCAACAGATTCACTATGACTTTAGCTGGTACATTATGATGTCACAATGTCATTGTGAGTCTGTGTTTGTGTGTATTTGCTAGCGGCTCCACCCTCTCGGTCTGCCAGGCAACAGCATTTGTTGCATTTTTCAAACAGGAAGTGGGAGTGGGGTAAGACCCTGGTAGGGGGTGACTTGCTTTTTAATTTAAACAAATCGCTAAAAAATTTCCACATAAGATGTAAAGTTTTATATAAAAAATAGGATGAAACATTTTGTGAGTAAAAGATGCGTTTACCTGGACTGTGTCAGTCATACCTGTGTCATAGAAGCGGGCCAGCAGCTCTTCTTTCTCCACAAACCTCTGATACAGCCAGTCGGTCAGCGCTTCTGCCTCAACAGGAACCTCTTTGATCGGGTACATCCTGGATCAGACGAGACGAAACGTGAAAGTTATTTGTAAACATTTCCACCAGGGTTGTAGTCCCGAACCCACAACAGGTGAAAACAAGAATAGAATCAAATGAGGAGAATAAATTATTTAAGTCATTGGGACAGCAGTAGCTGAAGAGGTGGTGACGGTGGCACAGGAGTTGAGTGCTGGCCTCATAATCGGAAGGTTGCAGTAGGGCTGGGCGATATGGCCTAAAGTCAATATCTCGATTATATTGAGGATTTCACCTTGATAACGATAAATTGACAATAACTACAGGTATGTGTAGAAACAAAAGTTGTCCACTAGATGGGGCTGTCACGTGTATTAGGTTGAGTCACATTTTTAGGACTGAAGGTTCTTAAAGGGACATGAACATTGCCAACCTACACACATCTTTTCATTTTTTACTATCAAATTTATTGCGATGGAAAAAATTATCACAATAAGAGTCAGAAATTTGACACTGATTGGGTTGTAAAGCGCCTTGGGGAGTTCCAGTACTATAGAAGGTGCTATATCAAATACAGGCCATTTACCATTTAGATAGAGTGGGTTGTCCAGTAATCAGAAGGTTGCAGGTTCGATCCCGGCTCCGGACAGAGAATTCTGCTGTTGTGTCCTGGGGCAAGACACTTAACCCACCTCTCCTGCTGGTGGAGGTCGGAGGGACCGGTGGCGCTTCTGCTCGGCAGTCTCGCCTCCGTCAGTGTGCACCAAGGCAGCTGTGGCTACATCGTAGCTCATCCCCACCAGCGTGAGAATGTGTGTGAATGGATGAATGATACACTGTAATGTAAAGTGCTTTGGAGTACTCTGAAATGCGTTATACAAGTGTGGGTCATGTCTCATTTAAAGTGGAACTTTATTCACATTTGAATACATTTGCAGTGGTCTTTAGTAGGAATGAATGGGGGGGTCACCTGTTTCAGGAGTTCAGTGAGTGAGTCAGACTGGAGTTAAGCTGAAAACGGCTGGTTTTGGAGTCTTATTTTATTATTTTCGCCTCGGATTGGATAACAGCAACGCGACTCTGCCACAGATTTTGTTTGCTCTGCAACGTTGCTGTTTTATCTCCACAAATAACACAAGCCCGGAGGAGCTCTGCTGTGTGGTAGAGTTGCTAACGCTAACAGTTAGCAGAGACGTTCTCTGCTGTTTCCGTGAATCCAAACCAACAACAGCCTTCCCCGTCGCGAGTCAAGATGGGTGAGCCCATGAATGTTAAGTGACAGTGTGACGTAGATCTGTCAGGCTTTTCTAATCCTAGAGTTTCATCGTCTGTTTTCCATCAGAAACTAATGCAGGAGATAGGTGTAGGAGACAATTTTCATGTTCAGACTGCATGAAAAACTCAGAGTGACCAATTATAATCAAAAACAATATTTAAGAAATGTTTTTTCAGTGAACTACCGCTTTAAAGAGACAGTTACTAAATGCAAAACAGGCTTTGTCTCTTATGCTTGTATAAATCACTTCATTTGCTTTAAAGGAGTTGAATTAATAGGATTAAAACCTTTTAAGGTCGTGTTTGTGTGTTTCGACTCACTATTCACATTAGCCGCCTTAAAATAAGCTCATGTCAGATGAATAAAAAAATAATAAAAATAACGTTAAAATTACATTTGCAGGCCTTTTTCTATAATATTTCAGATTTTTTTTTAAATCTGTAAAAATACAAAATGGAACGTAAATACTAATATACTTGATTGTTTTAAAAAAAAAAAGTCTAAATTTTCAAAATATTTTCTTTAAAAGTAATTTCCCCAGATTCTAGGCTATGTATCATGATAAGTGACTGTTATCCCTTTTTGTCATTTCTTTGGAAAATAATGAAATGAAATCATATGCAATAGAATGAATTTATCAACAATAAGGTGACTTTGCTGATGAGATCTAGTGTCTAGCCAGAAGAGGTCTCTAGAAGGCTGCAGTCCCACTCAGGCAGCTCCTGGTCACCTTCAACAAAGGTTACCGTCTCCTCCTCCCTCAGACGAGCGCTTCCTCTGCTCCCTACATTTGCTGCTGATGAGACAATGTGAAGGTAGAACAGCAAAAGCCTCTCTGAGGGAGGCAGTCAGCACCACCGGCTTTAATGTTTATTAAAAAGTGATTTCAAGTAAAGATTTCCGCCCTCAAAGGTGACAGGTGTGATTTTAACGGTCCGATGCAGATGCAGACATCATAACAAACCATGGCTGTAGCTCACAAACAGGAAGTAACAGCTGTAACTCGCAATAAAAAGCATGGGTGTGTTGCTTTAAGCTGTTCCATGCAAAATTCTTTCACAGTGAGACATCAGTGAGTCAGAACTGTGGCATTATGGCTGAAGTAAAAAAGAAGCTCTGATTTCACGTCCCTGATGTTTTTCTTTGTCATTTATTAGAGTTACTAGAGTTCCTGGTGTCCAGCTGAGAGAGTCGGGGAAAAAAAGAAGGCCTGACCTGCTTACTAGATGGGTAAAAAAAAAGTAGGTGGTGATTTATGGCAAACTTCTATTCAGTTTTCCATGTTTATCTCTGGAAACTTGGTCTTTGGTAAGCTGCAGTTAACCGTGTGGGAATTTGTCTGAGGCGAGTTTAAACATTTTCCAAGGAATTTCCCTGAAGGGTGGGAAGATGACAGTATTATTGCATAAATCTTTAATTTGCAATTCTAATTAAATGTTAAAATTTCTTGGAGAAATACAAATTACTTTTAACAGTTTATTTTAGGTTAGACGTAGCTACTTATCAGTACATGCAAACTCACGCAATTTCACAAGATTTTGTGCAACCTGTTAGCATTTGGAGTGAGTTAACGGGTTGACTCGGTTACAACAACAAATTTTTGCTCTATTTCAGCTAATTTGATTGAATTAGGCTTGATTTATACTTCTCCGTCAGCTCAGGTCGTGCACACGCATCGACGTAGACGTTTTCCTTTCAGACCTCACCGTTGCCTGGGGAGTGATGCAAAGCAATTCCCTGCTAGGACAACAGAGGGCATAGCGCTTTTCTGAAGGTATCCTGCAACCACTGCAGTCACGTCTCTGATCTACGATAATATATTTACTATAGGGTGTTTTCGCTGCGCTTATGTGTTTCAGAGACGTTTAAACATGGATAAGTTTGTCCCTCATTGTCTACCACCTCTTCATGCAGTTGGCCACCTCCAAACTCACGTTTCCTGCAATTTTTCTTCCATGAATGAAAAGTTTACCGCTTTTTTCACAAGATGTTCTTGCATCTGCTCAGTGTCTGTCGTTAGACATGTTTGGCAATCTTTTTAATTTTTTGAGGGGAGAACAAGCCCCCACAATGCGGGACAGAAATTGAGGCCAATGCGGAAGTACCAAAAATTGCAGTTCCACCCTCATCCACTAGGGGCTGGTGTCAGAAGCGAGCAAATCCTCATTGACTCCCATGTTAAAAATACCAATTTCACAGCAGAAATAAACATGTTTACAGCCTGGTACCCAAACATGCTTTTGGTTTAAATGATCTAGTTTACACTCATGACAACTCTGAGGGGGGTGAATTTTTTTCTTACTCTTCTGTTTAAGTGTATTAAAAGCCTACAATTCTGAATAATTAATGAGCATCAGACCCACGTGACCGCAGAGCTAGCTCCGGGGAAAGGCCTCAGTCTGAGCCTCGGCCTCGCCTGAAAACTGTTCCGTCATTTTCAGTCTCTCAACTTAGACCATTAGTTGTAGCGTTTGTGTATTCTGTTTTGGATATTTTTTGTTTAATTGTTGGACAAAATGACTTGCTGTGGCATTAATTGCACTAATAGAGCGTCCAAGGAGTCTCCACTTCATTTTTTTCGGTAAGTAAAATTATATTTATGTATTTTAGGTCACTGCCGAGCTGAGCTTAGATTTTAACATGTACTGTTTAACCATGAAATTTAAATGTAATAGGTTAAAGCCCAGTGCATTTAACATAATGCTGCACTTTAGAAAATGGGTTGAAATATAACATGTTGGTGGAGCTGGGTTCCGACTATCGGCTTGTGGAGCTCTCGGGAGACCGATGTTTTCCACCTGGTTCTCCCCTCCCCACAGCTCGGCGCATCTCTGATCGCCACGGCTCCTGTCTGCTGCGCGGGCTGACGGCTTGTGGAGCTCTCGGATGGAAACCGATGTTTTCCACCCGGTTCTACCCAGCGGCAGCTCTGTGCATCTCAGATGGCAGCGGCGCTTGTCTGCTGCGTGGCTGCTGGCTTGTGAAGCTCTCGGGAGACCTCTGTGTTCCACCCGGTTTTACCCAGCGGTCAGCCCGGCGTATCTCTGACTCAGAAGCTCTGGTGTTGTGCACAGTTAACTCCGGTTGTAGGTAGGTTGCTACCTCCATTAGCTTAGCTCCCACCTCCGCGTTCGCTTTGGGTTAGCTTCAGGTTAGCTTGTAGCTAGCTCGACAGGGTGTCGTCAGTTGATCCCAGCCTTACAGCCCCACCCTCAGCTCCACCTCGCTTCCCTTTTGTGGAATTGTCTGGGCTTGACGGAACATGTGACATGGTCAAAATGGCGGTGGTGGCCACCTCCCATTTGGCCTCAAAAACGTGTTATTGGAGCCTATGGAAATGAATTGTCCAGTATATTTGTCGATGGGGTAGAATGATGGTGGTATTGACAAATTCAAAGGAAGTGGTGTCCTTACCAATCACAAGCTTGCGGTCCACGTTGCTTTCGACGGGTAATTTAAAAAAATTGGGCAAATCTCCGTCAACCTCTGCGATAAAAACAACTCTGTAAATGAAAAAGTGTAACAAGACAACTACTTTAAGATTTTAATTTTCGTACCCGCAGCTATTATTATACTTCCAATATACTTGTGTCGCCCACTATTGTTACAAGAACAAAAATCTACTTTATGGCCTGCAATAAATCTTGGCATAGCGTTTGCCTGTCAGGATACCATCAGACCCATCCTTAACAAGTGTGGAAATCTGAGGACAAAGTTTGAGTATCCTTCAAATTTAGTAGTCTTGTTGCGTCGCTTTGACGTA